GGAGCACCGTGTCACACTGCTAGAAACACCCAAAAGTGGCGGGAAGAAAATGGTATCCAGAAGTTGCCCTGGCCGAGTTAATCTCCTGACATGAACCCCATCGAAAACCTCTGGGCCATACTCGACCGCCAAGTCAAGAAACAACCAAAAAAACCAAAAAAAACTTCGAAGAGTGATCTACTCCAAGTTTTGAAGAAAGAGTAGGCGAAAATCCCACAATCTAAAATTGACGAGATGATTCTCACAATGCCTCAACGGATCAACGAACTCCTCGAAGCGAAAGGAAGATCTACCAGATATTAATTAAATTATAAATATATCAATTCATGTGAATATGTCTGAAAATTTTCATTTTTTCTGAAAAGGTGGTATCTATTTACTTGTGACCACGCTGTGTATGTATTCTCGCTATCATGAGTTACTGAAACAAATTCTAACAAACTTCTCTCCATTTTTTAACTTTTCACCAAATAGTAATGAGCACTAATTTAGTTAGCTTACTCGATGGGCAGAGCTTACCTCATAAATTTTAACAACAAAACTTTGATAATTCTCCATTAAGATTTGTGTGCGAGTTTCTCACTTAAGTTGCAGTGAAATGAAATAATGACTCTATGGCAATTATTGCAGCAACCTAATACTTTGAATTATGATGAACAGCAGCTAACTACAGTTGAAACAAGTTAAACTAGTTATACAAAAATGTAAACTTTTGGAAGGTCGTACTTGTACTGATCCAATAATTAACGGTATTTAGTATTATAAATCACACAGTCATCATGTTATAAAGTTTTCTATGAGTGATAGGCCTCATTTTTGTCCTAGAATGTTGATCGTGCCATGTTACAAAATGGTGGTAACCACGAACCAACTGCAAGTAGTGAATTAGCTAATAATCGTTTAACAAAGAAGAATTTATAATAGACTATTTAAAATTTGCTGCTTACTTAAATGATTCTTTGTCTCCTATATTCATTATTATCAATGGAAGATGTAAAAGTTAGTATGATACAAGCAAGTTTTGAGAGTTGAATAACTTGGTTTTATAAGGTACTCGAGGATTTTTGTATACTGTTAAACTTTGCTAATCAATGTTGCTGGCCTGCCACTAGAATTTAATCAATCAGTCTCTATCACTATGATTGCTTCCACTTTCATCTTCATTCTCTGTGACTTTTTTTGCTTGTCTGTTTTTTCTTAAAAATATAGTTTGTCTGCAGCTTTGTTTACATTACTTTGACTTAAACTTTGCATAACTTTAAAAAAAAAAAAAAAAAAACAAGGTAGTAAACTTAGAACCGGGTAACAGTCATGATGGGTGGTTTCCAGGTACCCAGTGAAAACACTAATATTCAACTTAGCTATTTAATGTTGTTATTTGTGTGTACTGTTTATTGGACAATCTTGTTATTAATTTAATTTTTCTTTCTTTCTTCTGTACTCTGCTGTATTGTCTGTTCTGTCCTGCTACCAAACTCTAGTTAATCACTAATACGCGTCATGATCATTTATCTTGGATGTTAAGCTATTTAAAAATTACACTTTTAGAGCCATCTAAATGGCATTCATTGGCCACTAAACATTGTTAGGGAGGATTATATGAAGTTCTGTGTATACTGGTGTCATACTTTTCAAGGGAAAAGGAACTGGTGATAGTAAATGAAGCAACTAATTTTTAATTGTATGGTAATTTGTATTATTTCTTTAGTGCTAATTTCATTAATAGTATTGCTTATAATGCTTAGTATACAGAATAAATTGTTATTAATATTAATTTTGCATTGTTGGCTTAGTATTTGAACTTGGAACTAACTTTTACCTCTTTAGTTGGCCAAACATTGAGACAGCTGAAAGTATTTGTAACAGTGAGGGTACTCAACTGATGAGTTAAAGCATTCTAATCACAATAAGTAAGAATAGTATATTAAATTAGTTATATTCAATACTGGATTAGTTTTTAGTTCTAATCTATGTAGATAATATGATCAGAAGTTAATGACAATAGACCTGATTATGAAATGTTTGATTCCAGTCAAGATGTTAAGTTGAGCATTTGAATAATAATATACTTTGGCTATAAATACTGTATCATATGGACTGGCTATGACATTTTAGTTATCAGGCCGTTCTATGAATCTGAAGTCCATGGTTTGTCCTGTTGAAGCAATGTCATGCTTGCACTTTACAGCTATGGGAGTATTATAAGAGTGATTTCAATTGGCTGACTACTTTCATTCTAGTTTGAGTTCAAAATTGGGGAATGGTAGTTCCGAAAGCTATTGGGTATCTATTTCGAATACCTAAAACAAAAAAAAAAACTGTACCATACATTAAAATTGGGCAGAATTACCTCTAAAATATTGAAAGACTTTGTCGAGTTTGAACTCGTGCTGTCAATGAAACGTGACTCAAAACTTCCAAATGTTCTTTGCATATTTTCATACCACATATGTCACTTGCCAATTTTACTCTACTCTCTCACCTTTCATGTAACTTATTGTGTATGTGTCACTGGACCTTACAT